CGTATCGCACAGGAGTTTTGACGCTGCGCCGACTTCGCGTAACGATTTTTTTCGTTTCGGGTACTCTGCTTTCAGACACTCCCGTTTCCGCGTTGTTTTCGGAGGCACTCACTTCCGCGCCTTCACATAAACTTAAACGAGATCCTCTGTCTTCGATCTCTCCCGTGTTGTCCGTTCGGTCATTGCCTAGCATCTGAGAAAAATCTGCTGGGCACTCCATGGGGTAGATACGCTCATTAATACTGTTCTCAGCTATTTTTTGGAAGTCTACTCGAGAAAACGCGTTCTCAGTTTCGACAAAGTTAGTTCCATTATCACTGTATATAGTCTTCGGACGATCACGTCTGGCAATAAAACGTCTTAGAACCTGCATGAAGCAGGCGACTGACAACGAGGTGCAAAGTTCGACATGTACAGTACGATATACGGCACACGTAAAAAGACATATCCATGCTTTTCCTCCGGTGGCTAGGTAAAGCGGTCCCGCAAAATCTACGCCCGTCGTTTCGAATGCTACCGCGTCCCGGACGCGATCTACTGGTAACGGCGGAGCACTTGCCCCGAATGGCTTCGCATTATGCCTTTTGCAGACGACACACTTAATGATGGCTGATTTTATCGCCCGTCGACCACCTAAAATCCAATATCGTTCGCGCACGATACTCGTGAGTCCTTGAGTTCCAATATGACACGACTTAACATGTTCCCGGAATAACAACCTATTCACTAAAAAATGTTTTGCCGGTAAAACTATAGGAAACCGAAAATACTCTAGGTCATTTCTATTACTAATACGCGACTGTAAGCGAATTAGTCCATGCTCATCCTTAAAAAGCGTTCATTCCCGATAATCTGTTGTCTTTATTCAGAAATAGAGTGTCGTCACTCTTATTCCACTTTATTCCCAACACCTGAGTTGAAGCTGCAAGGTTTTCATCCTGTATTTGGCCAGTATAACTCCCACCTTCTGAGGTCAAACTTGCCTTCACTCATTATTATGTTTGACTCTTCTATAAAAGTTCTCAGTTCCTGCTCATTTCTTACACTGGTAACACAATTATCAACGTAAAAACTATTGGATAAATTTGTAATTGTGTCTTCTGAAACATTAAGCCGTGCCGAAGAGCATTTTTCTAACATCTGCGATAAATGATAGTCCAGCGTAGCTGCCAATAAAAATGGACTACTACTTATTCCAAATACAACTCGACAGTGACGGTAAATCCTTTCTTTTCCAGTTTTATCTATCCATAGAAAGCGAAGAAAATCCCTGTCAGCTTTATGCAGGCCAATTTGCAAAAATGCTTTCCGAATATCGGAGATTACACCAATTTCCTTTTGTCTAAATCTCAACAAAATAGCTGGAATCAATTCAATCAGGTTAACCCCTTTTCAAGACACTGATTTAAAGAAGGTCTGTGTTTTTCTTTGGCCGAAGCATCAAAGACCGGTCTGATTTTTGTAGATAAGCTATTTGGCTTAATTATCGGTCTATGGGGTAAATAATGACATTCTTGGCTAGGCTGCTCCTCGGATATTTCTTCAATTATACCTTCGTCCAACCAATCCTTAAATATTTGGTCGTAGGCTTCAAGATATCCGTCTTTCGTTATTTTCTTAAATGTGCTCTCGAGTCTCCTTTTTGCAATTTGGTAGTTGCTCGGCAATGCTGGATGTCCTTCCAGCCATGGGAGTCTCACTTCATATCGTCCACTAGAATCCGATGACACTGTTTCAAAGAAAAGTTTCCTGCTGCTAGCGCAGTTTCTTCACTTGACTTCCTTTCAGTTGGATCACCAATGCCCAAAACGTCTAGCTCCCAAAGATTACTAACTGAAGCATTTTTAACAAAAAGTGATACAACAGATGTGGTATTATTGTCACGTTGACCTAAAGGTATCTTGCCCATTAAAGTCCAACCTAATAATGTTTCTACAGCTACCAATCCACTTTCCAATATGTGCCTCCTCCCAGTATAGAGTTTTCCAGCAATATCAGCTCCTATTAAAATCTCTATAGGAGACGCATCACCCAAATCCGATAGTTTTATATTAAACATACCAAGTTCTTCTATCCAGGGACCATTAAATATGGAAGAGACGTCGCTACATATAACGTTTTGATCTAGTGCCTCAAATGTATAACTATAATTGTTATGAAACACTCTAACATCATAGCAATCATGTTTTTGCGCTAATTGGTTTCCTCCAAACAATCCATGTACTAGATTAATCTGTCGTTTACTAGGATAACCCAAAAGTTTAGCTGTAGATTTCAAAATGTACGTTTTTTGCGATCCGGTATCTATAAGAGCACGTACAACTCGCGACTTGTCTAAATAGTTTATTTCAATACGCAGAGTTTGCAAAAAAACATTCGTATTAGCACTATTAGCGAGCGTCTGTTCAATTCTTGGCACGGCGATGCCATCGTTTTCTTTCTGTTCTTCTGTATCCTGCTTTACCCGGTGTCTTGAAAGTTCAGTGCACATTAAAGGTACATGCGATTTAGAGCAAATTAAACAACTTAATTGACTGCGACATTTTCGAGACTGATGTCCAATTTTCAAACAACGAAAACACGCGCCTTTTTCTGTCAAAATATTTTTCCTTTGGTCATAAGTTAATTTCTGTGCTTTAAAACAGTGGCTGCTTTCATGCGAATTCTGACAAAAAACACATTTATAGATAGTGTGAGAATTAACTAAACCCATCGCGGAAGGAGACTTGTGCTTGTTTTCCTCGTGTCTCCTTGTTTTTGGGCCTGTAGATTTAAAATCTTCGGTTTTAGCAGCATGCAAATGGAAATTCTCGACTGCTAAAGAAAGGTGCTGCTCATTGTCAACTTCCTTTTTCAAGAACAACATTAAACTCTGAAGTCGATTTTCGATGCTTGCGATGCCGGCAGAATTAAGTGACGCTTGTGATCCGATACTTTCTGGCAATCGTTGCCAAACTCTTAATAAATCTGAAGGTAGACAGGATTCAACTAAAGGAAATAACATAGCCGCGTATTTATCCGACTTAATACCGAGTGTTTCCAGAACCCTCAACTGAGTCTCTAATTTGTCGTATAACAAGGATAGATCTAATTTATTGCCAGACGCAGTATTATTTATTACTAATTTAAGTAATTCCCGTACATAAACTTCGATCTGCAAGTCATCCCGACCGAAACGCGAAATAAGACAGTCAATCATAGCATCATAATTACTTCCAGTGGCGGGAAAACTATCCACTAGTTGCCTAGCTCTACTACCCGGTATAGTAGCTTGAATCAAATATTCGACCTTGTCGTTCGGATCTATGTCAGGATCATGATGAACTTTTTGAAATTGTGACCAAAAAGGCAACCAGTTTTTAATATTCCCGTCGAATTTTTTGAACTCTAATGTAGGTAATTTAAATTTTCGCTTACCACGTCTGCTGTCTAAACTACTCCTATCATCAGATATCCTAGAAGCTACCTCACCTTCCACTGCACCTGTCACTATTGACTGCATACGGTCTTCGAACTGCATACTGAGATCCAAAAACTTCTTGCTATAGTTGTCACTACACTCAATTTCTGCTAAAAGGTCTTCTTCACTAGCGTCTTCACTTAGTAATAGACCGTAAATTTCTTCATCACTTTTCCTTAGGTCTTCAATTTTTTGGCGTAATAGATCCAAGGAAACTTTAATTGATCGTATCTCACCCTCCGGCGCCGACAAAAGCTTATCCATTTCATTCGCCGTCCTCGTGAAGGTGCTACGGAGCACTTTGCGATGTTTCTTCTTTTGATCCATTTTTCTCTGCAAACTTGGTCAAAACCACACACGTTTACCGAAAGTTACAGGCGAAACGCGATAAAGTTTGTCCGGTGATCGTCAATTCAATTTTGTTACACCTCGTATACAACCACGATTAATTTTATGGAAACAGTCCTGTCACGGTCGCCAAATATGTCAAGTGTGTACCAACGCAATTCTACCCGATTTGCGTATAAAATACACGGTTCGTATATTACAAAATTAAACTTCAAAATTATTGAAAATCTATATTTGCCAGTTCCCAACAAAACATATCGCGTGCTTTTAAAAAATGATGTAACAAAAATTATCACTTATAAGCATCAATCTATACATACACAAAATTAAAAAAATATTACGCCACGGATACCGACCGTTCAGCGCTCAGATTCTTAGTCAACTGTAAGAACCTCATCAATTTTTATTACACCACTTACGCGTTAAAATAAAGAAAATAAATTGAAGTGATGGCGATAAAATATAAAAATATTGCCGACAAGTGGAAAGATTGTTATGATTTAAAAAGGTTTTATAGCTAAAGCTTTCTTTGAATTTTAATAAGAGATTTTTAACTTCAGCATTTAAAGCGGTATACAAACAAAATAATTATCAAATGGCTGTGACACTCGTCTTTGAATCTCTCTCTTCGCCGCCAAAATGCAGTGAAATGTATTTGTTTTCGCGATAGCTCGCGCGCCCTAAACGCCGATAGAATAATGGACAATGTTAACTCTTTCGTTAGTATTAGTGCTTGTGTAAATAGTCTCTTGTTATTAAATGTGTAGATTCAATTAATTACGCTTATTTTTTCTCTAAGTACAACCCCTATTAAATCAAACACATAAAGAACCAGCGCCGTGAAGTTCTGCTTGTATATATCGAAGGAAACACTCTTGTACAGTCCATGGTCCTAAAATATTTGGAACTGTACACGCACGGGGAAAGGAATTTAATAAGCTTTCCCCACAACAATTGGTGGAAATCGGAGAAAACTCCATCAGCAATCATAAGGAGAATATTCACTATGCCTAATACTTAATGGGATTATAAATGATTAATTTTGTTTTGAATAGAATCAAAAGATTTTAATACTTAAATCTGGCAATGTAATAAAAGTCTGTGATTTGATTTAGGTATACAATTTAAAATTGCCGCTGCTTGTTAATTCAAAAATAACTAGACCTGTCACTTCATACCTTTCAGTGGTGTGTTGCCAACGTAATAGGTAGAATTAAAAAATCAACATTACACACCATAAAATATTTTTTAAAAAACCTTATAGTCAGGAATAAAAACATCAAGAAAGCAATAATATAGTGAAGCTACTTTATTACATTTTAACCAATGCTTACAATACCGCTTGAATGATCTTTTGTGAATGTTTTTGGTACATATTTTATTTTTTAGTTTAACCAAACACAGAAACGAATTCTATGAACTCTTCAGATAAAATAACTGACCCAGACGAAGCTTCCAGGTAATAATATTATTAACAAAACAGTTTAAAGGTGTTTTGTTGCAGGATCTTTCTAAAAATATTGATTAACTGTTGGTTCATTTAGGTTATGTTTGTTATGTCAATCTTGAATGTCATCACAATATTTCCTTTCTTTGTTTGGGGTTTTAGGGGGCGAATTTAAATGGTTGCGTGAGTAATTTTTGAAAATAATTTTAGGAATAACCCAGAAGCATCGTCGAGTAACTTAAACAACGAAAAAACTTCTACTGACAATAAGGACGAAGTTATGAAACGAGCTGCTGCAAAGAAACTTATTGAGAGATACTTCTACCAACTTACTGATGGCTGTGGAAATCCTCATTGTGACAATCGTTACTGCGCTTCTAGTGGGGAAGTAAGTTGTCACCTATATTAATCATTTCTTAAATAAGTTTCACAGGATAAATAGTTCTGTTGACAAGGTCAGTGAGGCACATTAGAACTTCGATTTGAGTGTTTTTATTCGAATAATATTCTAGTAGTCAGTATATTAAATGGTTGGGTAATATTCTGTCATCCTGCCAATCTTTATAGTGTTTACGTAGAGTCAAACATGTGTGTCTTCCTAAAAACATATTAAACTATCCCTTATTCATTAGTAGTGGTATTATTTACATGCATATTCTTAACTAAATTATTGAAAGCTTCATCGCAAGATTCCTTTGTATTTTTGGATATTTATTTTTCAATTAGGTGAGGATGTTGTAAATTATCAAGCCAGTTGGTAGCTTTATTTTGTTGTTAGTATGAAATTTAATTATATTTCCCACTTATCAGCTGTGTGGTATAATTTGATTGGATATTTTTTTTTCAATTATATGATGATCTAGTGACCCGTCAAACCAGTTGTCTTACAGCTGAACTTCTGTATGATAGGGGAATCAACTGTCTTGTGAATACTGCAGGCCACATCTGTCTGTTGGATGGACTATCCTACTCCCACCTGTCTCTGTTGTAGTCTCTGACGATTGATGATAGGTACACCTACATTGCAGACTATTTGTATTCTTGCATAATTTACATAAATTTTTAAAATTAGTTAATTCAAATGTAACAAATGTAAAGAATTTTATATAGAAGAACTTACTAAATAAAAATGTTTCAAAGGCAGAATATTATAAGTATAAAGTCTTACCTAATAAGTATATTATTTAATACAGTGCAAACAAGAACAAGATGGATAAACTCACTCAAGCTACTAAAGATCTTATAAACGAAAGAAGAGAATTGAAAGACAAATACACAGATAATTTTGTAACACTTAGACAGTTAAACAAAGATATCACAAAATCCATTCCAAAAGATGTCAGAAATTACAACACTGAATACATAACTCAAGCCGTTGATAAAAATAAAAGTTAAAAGGTTCTGTGCCTACAAATGACTGAAGGATCAAAAAATATTTGTAAACTTGTAAATAAAAAAGAAGAAACTACAACAAATAAGGAAGATATTTTAAAAATTGCCCAAGATTTTTACTCAGAATTGTATAAGCGAGAAGAACTTCCAGATCCTGATCAAAATCAAATACCAAAAGTTCAAAATGTAGACTCAGAAGACATCCCAGATATCACAACAGAGGAAATAAAATCAGCTCTCTTGGATATGAACAACAATAAATAACCTGGAGAAGATGGGATAGTTGAACAAATCAAAGAAGGAGGAGGAATGTTAGTAAATGTGTTGAAAAAGATGTTCAATGCTTGTTTGACAAGAAGCGTAACCCCCTCCCAGTGGAATAATGCAATAATAACCATAATGCACAAAAAATGTGACATTTAAGACCTAAATAACTACAGACCTATTAGTTCTCTCTCCCATACATACATACAAACTATGTTCGCTCCGGATATGGAACAAATGATCATCTACAAGTTATAAAAACACTAATAGAAAAGTGTACAGAGTATAACAAGCCTATCTTTCTTATATTTGTAGATTATGAAAAGGTGTTCGATAATATACATTATCATAAAATGCTTCTAGCATTGGCTGACTGCCGCATTGACTACCAATATATCACCTTGATTAAAAGTATTTCCGAAACTGGTACAGCTTGTGTCCGCCTTCATGAAGATACCAAGAAGTTTCGAATAGAACGTGGAATTAGACAGAGTGATACTATATCCCTTAAATTGTTTACAGCTGTTCTTGAATATATGTTCAAGCAAATGCAACAAGAGGATAATATGGGAATTAATATAAATGGGTAAGATCTGAACCACTTAAGATTTTCCAATGACATCATTTTAATATCTGATAGAGTTGATAAAGCTACAAAAATGCTGTACACGCTATATAAAGTGTCAAAAACTAACACCTCAAAGACAAAATTTATGACCAACCTTGTAGTCAGCGGCAAAATTCTGATTGAGAGCCATAGCATCGACCAAATAATAGCTTACAAATATCTATGGCATGAGATTCGCTTAGGCAGAGATAATCAGACAACTGAAATACAAAGAAGGATAGGTCTCACATCGGCTGCCTTTGGTAGATTGAATAACATTTTCAAGTCTATTATCCCAGTTTGTTTAAAAAGAAAGGTTTTTAACCAGTGCATTTTACTGGTTCTTACATATGGTGCAGAAACGCTGACTCTGACAAAAAGAACAATAGATAAAATAAGAGTTACACAATGCCCTATGGAAATATCAATATTAGGTATTACCATCTTACCATCAGAGATAAAGTACCAAACCTAGAAGTAAGAGGAATAACAGGAGTCACAGATGCAGTTGAAAAAATAGCCATGGCTAAATGGGCTTGGGCCAGACATGTTGCCAGATTAACGCATGATAGATGGACCAGAAAGATTCTGGAATGGGGACCAATGCAAGAGGCAAATCAAACCAGAAGATGACCACCGACTAGATGGACAGATGATATCAAGTACATCACCACAAACTGGATGCAAGAAGCTCAAGATATAAATAAGTGGCAAATTTTTACGGGAGGCCTACATTCAGCAGTGTAAATATAGGCTAATTGATGATAATGATGATGATGATGACCTTCTATAGAGTTTTGTTCTTACAACTTGCTCTTGCAACCCATTAAACATATATACTGCAATTCTGAAGTATTGAAAACATTTAGTCTCGTCATCCAACAGATGAGGTAAAAGTATAACAAACTCTCCTTCCTCTTGTCTTTTTCTCCAAGCATCATGTACCCAAAATTTATGTTCTTTGTACCCTATTAACTAAATATAATTAGATCTTCTTCATCCAAACAGATAGACACAATGCCCACAATAACTAAATCATGGTTATTGAAATGTTTCACGAAACATTACATGCCAAATACTTTCCATGATCAACTGGCAAGATAGTCTTTAATTTTTTATGTATTACTGTTTCTGAAGGTGATAATTGTATAAGTATACAAAAAACTATTTTATTGTTTTAACATTTACATACACTTCTCTTGAAATAAAAGCTTGCCGAAAACATTTTTTCTTCAAAGCATACTTAAAAATCCTCTACCAAACTGTATCAATCGTTAACAAAAGTTTTTTGTTGAGAAATTTTTAATTTCCAACAATATTTTCATATATGAAACCTTACAATCTTTTGAAATAATGTTTGAAATTCAAAATATATTTATTAGATCAGTAAACTTTTGAAACATGTTACATTAATTTTTATATTCAATTATTGCATAATCATAAAAAAAATATGGGTGATCACATATATAAAAAGTACATTAAAAATTCAGACTTACATTAACAATTTACTATAACATATTATATTAACATTCTCTGCTGGACTGGTACGATTTTTTTAAATTCGTCAACTACACCATCGGCATCTATATTTACAGCAAATTCCTGTTCAACAAAATGCACCAATAGATGTTGCAAACAGTCTTGCAGCATTGTCAGTCGAAATTTTTGATTTTATGTTCAGCTTAGAATCATTTCTCTCACAAGTACAACTAGTTACAGAAATTGTGACAAATTTGACCATTAGTTGGTTAAACACTGGGAACATTGATTTTTCATCATGCTGAGACATCCAATTGAGCCAAATCAAAATATTCTGAGATTTTTTTTTAAATCTTGATTTCCTAACTCATCTATATTTAAACTATATGATTTTGCCTACTGACTAAATAATTTGTTTTTATTCTTAGTCAAATTTATTGTTTAATGACTGAATCATTCAGTTTAAAAGCAGTTAAAATACAAAGAGTTTCACTTCTTTTTTTATCATTAATTGTAAATGCATTTTCAGCATTATTATCTAATCTAGTAGAATCTGTACAATTTGGAATGAAGAACCTACATTGGAATATAATTATAATATACAGATTATTCTTGTTGACTGGTTTACTGAAATTCGTGATCTGGGAATTAATTTAGACTCTAAACTTTTATTTAAATCGCATTATATGTCAATAATCTCCAAGTCTTTACAAATGCTTGGCTTTATAAAAAGATTCACTTGAGACTTTCAAAATATTGAAGCAATTATTATTGTTCTGAAGCTATTTTCTTGTGGCATTTTAAATTAATTACTATTTAACTGGGAATAAGCCACAATTAAAGATAAAAATACGATTATTGACGTTTCAATTTCCACTTCGGAAATCGTTCTCAAAATACAAACAGTAAATTAAACAAATTTTGTGTTTTGTTACATAGTGAAAAATTCTTCTAATAATTTAATTATATCTGACTCATTTATATTGACAATTCAGACATACATTATGCATTTTAAAGTAATTACTATTTAACTGGGAATAAGCCACAATTAAAGATAAAAATACGTTTATTGACGTTTCAATTTCCACTTCGGAAATCGTTCTCAAAATACAAACAGTAAATTAAACAAATTTTGTGTTTTGTTACATATTGAAAAATTCTTCTAATAATTTAATTATATCTGACTCATTTATATTGACAATTCAGACATACATTATGCATTTTAAAGTAATTACTATTTAACTGGGAATAAGCCACAATTAAACGTTAAAGTACGTTATTGGCGTTTCAGTTTCCACTTCGGAAATCGTTCTCAAAATTATTTAAAATGATATTGCCAATATTGTTGAGTTGCGCTCCTGGGACGACTTTACTTATAAGATAGTTCATTCGATTACATGAAATCAACTTTAACTTGAGAATATCCGTCAGAAAAAAATCATAGCATGTACTTCGTCTTTAAAAAGACAAACACATGAAATGATGACAGTAAAATTCTCCTGTTAGTGATTCCATAGTAAATTATGAGGGAAAAACCAGGAAAAAAACCTCATAATACTATCCCGACATGGTAAGTATTTGTTCGTGCATTTAGTTTACCTTCAATAAACACCAAAATTCTGATTTTATATGTTTCGTTATTATTT